GTGCTGGCTATTCCTATTAGCTTAATGTCATCTGCAAATTTGATAAGTTCCTCATTTAAATCATTTATGAAGATATTGAAGACTACAGGGCCTAAGATAAAATCTTGTGATACCCCACTGTTTACTTTCTTCCATATAGATGTGGTACCATTAAGAACTACTTGCTGAGTATGGTTTGTCAGCCAGTTACAAATCCATCTGGTAGGGATGCTGTCTATCCCATATTTTTCTAGCTTACTAAGAGCTAGGTTGTGGTATACTTTGTCAAATGCCTTACTGAACTCTAAATAACCTATGTCCACGGCATTTCACTGGCTTTCTAATTTAGTCACTTTATTAAAGCATGATCTGTTTTTAATAAACACATGGTGACTTCTAGTTATAACTTTATGTTTCTAGATGTTTGCAGATTTTTTTTTAGTCTTTTCTAGTTTCTTTCCAGGTACTGATGTTAGGCTGGTTGGTTTATTCTTTGCTTCAGATTGGGATCATTCATACATGCATACAAAATTACCTCTGATTAAAATAGGACATCATAATATGTTGAGAAAAGTTCAAAGAGTTCCCCAAACTTCTAACTTTGAGCATTACAGCCTTACCACAGAATAAATTTCAGTTAAAACAGCTGTGTAATTTTCTGAATAAACCACAGTATAGATTCATATGTATCAATTAAATACATTTAATTATTATGATTTACCTTTGTACATTCCAACATTTCTGGCGTCATCAGTTAATGAAATTACGGAAGGCCAAATTGAGATGGGAACTGGGGGAACTTGAGGTCCATCACTTCTAGAGATCAGAGCTCATGTACAAGGTATTTTTGTGCAGATTTTTCAAAGCAATCATATCAAAGGTGGTTTCCTACTGGTTTGGCCCGGTTTGGCCAAACCATAGTGTTATGCCGGCCTGGGTCACAGAACCGACAGCGACCTAGGCTGGCCATGCCTCTGAACCAGTTCCCTGGTTGATACAGTCACCGTTGCCATCTTGTTTTTGAGTTCTGCGCATGCACAAAACAATTTCTATCGAACTGAGCATGCATGCACAGCATGCATAAAGCACAACCATGTGCGCCCACATGTACCCATGAGCAAACTGGCAGTAATGCCAGTCAGAACCCACCCCTGAATCATATGGGTTAAAACAGACCACAAGTAGCTCAATAATATTCTATGAATTTTATCCATTTTTAGTTCTTTTTTTGAAGCCTAGTCTGAAATATGTAACATATCTATGTTACAATCTAGAAATCAATCTACATTATTTAGGACAAGAATCATGGGTATTTTTCCTGCTAGTAGTAGCTAGAACTGCTGTTAGTATTTTCAACCTAAAAGATGGACATGGTCACACAGATGTTAAAGGCATTGTAAACTGAGGGAAAATGAGGCAGACAATGTAGAGGAATGAATGAATATCGTTCATAAATAATATATTTCCATTTGTGTGTAAGCCTGCCTCTGGGTGCCAGCCACTTTCCAGTCAAAACCTTGGAATATGATCCCAGATGAATCTCCTTCTTTTGATTTTTCTCCCTATGAATATTCCCTTTGAAATACTTACTAATAGTTTTTTCTACTCTTTATAGATCCTTTACACAGGAGTGGTAGTTTATGCTCCAGCTTTGGCTCTCAATCAAGGTAAGTGCTTTGTTGTTGACTTGAAAAGGACAGGAGAAAAGGGAAATTTGTTTTCTGTTATCTGCCTATCTGGAAACTCCCTTCCCCCTTACTTTTCCTTTTATTCAGTCTGATATATGTATGTTACCCCTCCCCTCCCCTTTTGCTAAAAAGTAACTAGAGAAGATAGATTCTGAATAGTTTTCTCAAGTTCTGGGCAAAGGGCCCAGTTTAAGATAATAGATTAAGACTTTCTTCTGTACTTTGACATTTTCTGTCCTTCTAGCCCGTTACTTTAATGTCTTACGTAATGTGAAACAGGATAAAGCTGAGGTTTCTCACTTATTGATCTGGTGTTTCCTGCAAATGATAGTTTTTTGGGGGGAGGATGATAGGCATTCTTTTTCTTTCTCTTGAGATTTGGCCCATGTATTTGGCAAACTGAATTTACCACCTGTGCAAACGAAAACAAAAGACTATAAAAGGTGGAAACGAACTTTAGTTCTGCAGCACATAAAAGAAAATGATGGCAACAGATTAAGTAACAGTACTTTCTCTGATACTATTGTATATTTAAAAATAAACAAGTATAGTTAATTTGATTTTTTTTAAAAGTAACCCAAAGTATATCTCATTACACTCCCTTTGATTTTCCAGTGACCGGATTTAATCTCTGGGGCTCAGTATTTGCAACAGGAATCGTTTGCACCTTCTACTGTACACTGGTATGTTTCTGCTGTAGTTCAACTATAAGTGTTTTTAGAGGAATGGTTGAGAGCCGAGGTGGTGCAGTGGTTAAATGCAGCACTGCAGGCTACTTCAGNATTATTATTATTTGTGGAACAGAAGATTCAGCTATCTTACCATACAGAGTGATGGTGGCAGTATTAGCAATATAGAACAGGCAGCTTGTTCAAATCCTTCTTTCTTTTATTTGATTTGCCTCATATTTATTTCTTCTTTTACTTTTTATTTGTTTTGCAATACTGGGATATTTGGTAGATGGGTGGAAATAATTTAGTATTACTTGTCCCAGGACAAGTCACAGTTTAAGGACTAATCTGTAGTTCTGACCTTGTACATGCTTATTTTTATAGCACTGTGGCTGCAAGTATAAATGCTCTGGCAACAGTAACATTTGAAGATTTTGTCAAGAACTTTTTTCCAAAACTGTCTAATCGTGCAAGCACTTGGACCAGCAAAGGCTTATGTAGGTGGAAAATATGACCTTTTCTTAACTTTAAATAAAATGTTTTTTAATCTATTGTTCAAAATTAAAATGTCTTTAAAACTAATATGTTTAAATTTGCCACTTTTCAAAAGTCCTTAATACAATATCACAAGGGCTGTGTCTGGGCCATAAATTACACACAGTTTCTCTTATCAGTGTATGCAAAGAAAGGTATGATTATTTATTGATGATTTGCTCCCTTTTGAGATGTTTATCATCTCAAATTATCAGCAATAATTTTGGAGCAGTATATCCAGAGATGTTGGGTTCCTAATCAGCTGCACATAAACTATAGTTTTATAAAAAAATCAAGGGAGGATTAATAGAATCATCATTGAGTTAATTTAGTGTGTTCCACCTTTTTCTGAGCTGTAGGCTCAAAAACACTGCATATTAACCAGTGGTGGGTTCTGGATCCCGTTGCAATCGGTACAATTGCAATGGAGCCTGATGTCCTCCACATGAACGTGCACAGCACGTGCATGCATCTTACCATCCAGCGACACCTCTGTGAGCCTCCCAATACTCCAGCTGCTCAGTGGAGCATCGTGCAGGCATGGTATGTGCCATGCGTGGAAGCTCCAAAGAATTTAAAGACAGGTAAGGCAGCCAGGCCCTCCAGAGCACCGTACCAGAACGGTACCTGGTGCTCCAGGAAGGCACTGGTACCCCTGTACTGGGGCATACCTCCTGCAACCCACCTCAGATATTAACTATCTTAAAGGAAGTTAGTGCTTCCTTATAATCTGTACACATTGATTAAGGCATAAATTTTTAATCTATTGACCATCCTTGAAAGANTTAGGGAGGGTTGAAAGCTGTTGTCTGGACAGATGCCTTTCAACTGATTGTTATGCTGGTTGGGTTCCTGACAGTTTTAATTCAAGGAACTTTTAAGACTGGAGGTATTGGAAACGTTTGGGAAACTGCTCAAAATGGATCTCGTCTCAATATCTTTGAGTAAGTACAATGGCTTCTCATGATCTGATTTGGTGTTTATAATGATAGGTTTATAGTTTTTTGGGGTTTCATGTCAAAAATGAAAGATAATAATTTTTAACTTTGTAGCAATATCTATGTATGGGAGTGTATTTTAAACCTTTGATTTGACATACCCTGAAAATGGTAGAAATTTTCCAAGAATGGTAAAGTCAAGGAGAAGATAAAATGTTAGCCACCCCCACCCCCCAATTCTACAGGCTTAGTATGCATGATGGAGGAATGAAACTCTTTGGCTCATACTGCAAGTAGAATAACTAAGAATTGGAGAATGCCTCTTTATTTCTTTCAAAATTAAATTAAACTATATATTAATTTGAAACCAAATCCAAACTATAACAGAATGGATCCAAATCATAGGAGTTAAAAAACCTTCCAATTTCTTACATCACCAACAAAGAGAATAAAAAGTCCCCACCTTGTTTTAAAAACTCTGGACCCCTGTGTGGGATTCAGTAAACCCAAAGTAATATTTTCTGCTGATTTTCCAAAAATGGTGATTCCTATTCTTCCTTCACAGACCAAATATATTACATATTAATATCATTTCACAGTTTAACTTTAAAGAATTGCATTACTGTTTTCATTTAAGCACAACATCTAGCGTAAAACACTAAAATTCTAGGTATTTTAGAAACTTCTAAAACATAAGGCCATATTGTTCAGTTAATACATGTGTCAGTAATACACATTATCAAATATATAGTGGGAGTATATCAAACTCGAAATGATATTTCTCAAAATCTTTAAAACAATAATTATACCAGATAAATTAAAGTATCTACTTTTTGATCTAGGCATCCCAAAATAAATTTATCCTTGCTATTTTCAGATTTGAGTTATTTCTCATGTTATTTGGAATACTAAGAAATACGATTAGTGCCTTAAAAATGAAGATCCTGGTTTAGTACATCTGGACCCTAAAACATCTTATGGTNATTCGGCCGAACTGGTCTGAACCAGCTGATTACCACCTCTGCCCATGTACTATACAAGAAAAAACTTCTCTGTAAAACAATTAAACAGTAGGTTATAGAAATTGGATATATACAGTATATATAAGTATATATTTGATAACTGTGATATATTTTCTAACTAGGCTTCACTTAGTATTCATGGAATGTGTGGAGGACCTATGCTGGGATTATTTACACTGGGAATTATTTTTCCTTGTACCAATTGGAAAGTAAGTAACAAGAATAGCATTATCTTTGCATATATAATCTACTGCTTTTGTTGATTTTTAATATTGTTTTTAAACATAGCAAAAGATCCATCTGTCATGACACTTCATTGTTAACTGGGATGTGATATGAGCAATCTTCTTATTGTTTCATAAATTATGAGTCTCTTGCCAGATATTAGGATATGCTGCAGCTGATGTCCTTCAGAAGTGACAAATACTTTTCCTACCTTAGAAGATTTACAGGTATTTGACAACTCCAATAATAATGTTTCATGGTTGCATTTGTTTAAGGGTGCCTTTGGTGGTCTTGCTACTGGAATCACTTTGGCATTTTGGGTCGCCATTGGAGCTTTTGTGTATCCTGCTCCACCATCAAAAACTCTGCCACTCTACCTTTCAACCGCCGGATGCAATAGTACTGATATGGTTGTACCCATAGTTCCTACTTTACCTCCTGAAAGGTACCATTCTTATCTAACCATCTATATATTTTATGGCAGTGGTTCATAATTGCTTTCCACAGTAATTATAGTCCACTATTGCAATTAATCATTTTATCATCTGTCTGTCTGTCTGTCTGTCTGTCTGTCTGTCTTCAATCTATCTACCATAAGTCTATATATGTATCTATTTTGTTGTAGTTAAGTATCATTAAATTGCAATTAAACATATGAGTGTTTTAAAGTTTATCAATAATCTTTATGGTATTAGGATTTAAACCCAATTGGTAAGGGAACTGTGTGTACAGCACAGCAACTATTGACTTTGTTCCATTTTGTCTTCCCAGGCCTTATTTAGCAGATTCCTGGTATTCTTTGTCATATCTCTACTACAGTGCTGTTGGCTGTCTTGGATGTATAATTGCAGGGCTACTGATCAGTTTTGTGACAGGTCAGTTCTTTTCTGATATTCCCGGTCCTGAAAACAACCTTAATTTTTAACTATTCTGTTACTCATGGGCTTTAACTATTTTTTGAAACAAGCAAAACAATAGCTTTACTTTTAATGATCTGGACATTCTCAAGGCTGGTTAACTTCTCAAAGAGTAAACAAGACATTGCATCTGGTTGCCATTCAGTTCCAATTGAGGTGAACAAGTCTTGGCTAGAAATGAGATGGAATATCACAGAGCTATATCCAGATTTTGGCTTCACATTTAAGAAGGATATTGGTGAGAGGTCTGGAAACTAAGTCCCATGAGGAATGTTTGAAAAAAATGGATGTGCTTAACTTTGAGAAGAGAATATTGAAGTAACACAGCATATTTGTTATACCAGAAAAGGGGAAGATCTATAAGAAATAGTTTAAAATTTGCAAAAGACCATATTTCAGCTAAATATTAGGACATAGATAGATAATGGCTTACAAAATGATAAAAGGATAATACAAAATATCACCTATATACAAATAAATAAATAAATAATCAATCAAGATTAAATAAGACTAAAAACCAAGAGGACAGGTGACATGGGGGTAGATCAGTCATTCTCCCAGCATGAAGCGCTCCTATCAAGACCCCAGGCCCGTCAGCAGAGTCATGTTTTAAGGTTCTTCTGGAAGGCCAGTATGTGTGGGATGAGGGTGGGACCAGAAAAGGCTGTTCCTCTGGATCCTATCAGCTAAAACTTTTTGGCAGAAGGGTTTCAAAGTAGGTTTCCTATGGAATGAGTTGGTGAGCTATTCCACTGGCTTTTCAATGAGTAGCATGGAGTAACTATCTATATCTATCTTGGAGTGAATAGTTCTGCTTCACTGAACTATTACCTACGGCAGTGATGGTGAACCAATAGCATGCATGAAGAAAGTGGCACACAGAGCCTTCTCCCTGGGAATGCGAACCATCGTCTGTTGCTTCTCTGGGTTCTCGAGCACTGGCCAGCTGGTCTTCACGTGCATGGGAGTACCAGAAACCAGAAGAGCAGCTGCTTGGTGTGCATTCTTGCACTGGACAGCTGCTCTTCTAGTTTCTGGCACGTGCATGCGCACCAGGCAGCTGTTTTTCTGGTTTCTGGCATGTGCAGGCACAGTGGCCAGCTGATCTTCGTGTGTGCATACACACCTGAAACTGGAAGACCAGGCGGCTGTTTTTCTGGTCTCCAGCATGTGTGCGCGTGCATGCGTCCCCGGTTTTTGCAGTCGATGCCAAAAAGGTTCGCCAACACTGCCCTAGGATTTCAAGCATTTCTTATTTAGTATGGAATGGCTCCATCATTGTATGTGTGATGCTTTGACTCTTCCCCCCATTCTAAGAGCATTTCTTTACATTTAAACTGCATTTGATATTTGGTTGACAATACTGCTGATTAAAAGTATGTTTGTGGAGTTTTTCACAATGCTGTTTTTTAGTTTCCACTACACTGAATATCACCAAGCATATTTTGTTCCTGTTGTTGCTTACGGTGGGAATATCATTACCACAAATAAGACAAAATATATTCCTGTGTAATTTTTAAGTTTATTTCATATATTGTATTAATTGAATCATTTGGGTGAGAATTAATAAAATGGCCAGCAATCACTGAGTTAAATGTTTCATTATTAGCCAAGATTTTGGTAGCCTGCTTCTAGAAAATCTACATTAATTTCAGTTACCAGAAGAAGTCCAATGTAGGTTGCTAAAACTAACAATTGGATCGATAAGATTTACATTATTTCAAAATTTGTTGAAACTCCTGGATGAATTAGGGACATGGATTCTAATTATTTTATACTAAAAGAATGACTGTGACTTAACAAGACATGGAAATGTCTGCTTTCAGAATTAAGATTTTGTATAAAATATTAGAAAATATTTGCTTTTTTGATAGACAATTAATGATTTTTTATTCTATCTAGGTCCTAATAAAGGGAAAGATATTAAACCAATATTAATTCGCCCAATCTGCAATCTATTTTGTTTCTGGTCTCCTAAATACAAAACGTTTTGCTGGTGTGGAGTGGATCATAACAATAAAGAACTTCAAGTAAGTTTATTGTATTATTCTTTTGACATATTGAAATGCATGTTGTTTTGAGCTAGGAATAGCATTAATAGATTTGGGGAGGTGTGAAAACCGATCATCGGGTTCCAATCTATTTATTTTGTTCAGAAGTTTATGTTAGAAGAATTTAATAATATCAAATTCCTCAAGCATCCCTAATTCTGAATACCTTATGACAATGGTTCTTAACTTTGGCTAGTTGAAGACGTGTGGACTTCAACTCCCAGAATTCCACAGCCATTCTAATGAACCCTATGAGTCAGACTGATAATGTCTTTATTTTAGCCAAGTTACAGCTGGATGATTTTTACCATGATAAAGTTGAATTCTCATTGGACAGGCTTAAATTAAAATATGAATCAAGTGAAAAACTGGTAAAATGCTAGTATAATTTTAAGCAATAGAATTATCGGAGCTTTATTTCTGAAAGAGTGTTGATGGGCAGATTGTTAGATTCAGATTACTATTATTTCAGTATATAACTAAGTATATAACTAAGAAAGGCACATTTCACTCCATTTAAAGTTGTGGCAGTGGATTTAGGTGTAACCACCTGCATCGTTTAATGGTTTTTTTAAAAAAACATTTCTTCTCAGGATGAATTGAAAATTGACTTTGAAACAAAGGCAGATGCAAATGATGGGCTGAAGAATGGATGGACAAACAATTTACCTGGTTATAACCCCGATGAGAAATCCTACACTAATACAAGCTTGACTGAATCCTATTTTTAGCACAAATAGTAAAAAGAAGACAAATAGTTGACATAGAGATTTCATAAGAACAGAAGAAAACACACTTTATTTATGTCTGCTAATTTGCTTAGAAGTCATTTATTTATTATTTAATAGAGGGTCATATCTATTCAGGTCAGTTTCATAATGGATCAGGAATGGTTTCTAAAACACTAGCGGTACTTTAAGGAGTAAAACTTTTTAAAAGAATCCCACCATCTTGTTCATACCATGGTTTGGATTTTAATGCTGCTCCCTTGGGGTTAAAACAGAGGTGGGTTCTTACTGGTTCAGACCAGGTAGTAACTCAACTGGCCATGCCTCCAAACCAGTTCTATCTTGTTTTTTGCTTCTGCGCATGCACAGAAGCAATTTTTTTACTACTGTGCATGCGTGCATAGCACGCATTAAGCATGTGCATGTGTGAAGCCCGTTCCTGAGTGAACCGACAGTAACAAAAGTGGGAAACCAAACCCTGGGTTAAAAGTGCAAGCCAGCATATAAATTGAATATTATTATTATTATTATAGCATCGGGGATTTTTTTTAAATCTCTGGAAGGTTATTTCCCACCATGTTTTATAGGCTTCCAAATAAAGGATTTATGAATGAATATATGTCTGGACTGAATCATTTGTTAGTTTAGGACAGTGATTGCAAACCTGTTGGGCTCAATCTGTCAAATTCAGTAAATACTTAATTTGACTCTGCTGGAATGTCACACATACACACACACACACACACACACACACACACACACCAAAAAAGAAACAATTCACAATCTCTGTCCCCCCACTCCCCCATGTAGTCCACCCTAAACAATGGCACTCGGCAGCACCACCAAGTCCAGCCCTCGACTTCAGTTTGCTGCCACTGAAAAAGATCATCTTGTACCATTCCTCAAGGTATATGAAGAAGAAAGAAACTTTTATCAAGAAAACAATATGGATGTGGGCATGAACATGTCAAGAGCTGAGACCAACATTAAGATCTTTTTTTGTTCCTTTTATAAATTCCCACTTTTGTGCTCTCACACAGTAAACGACAACATTTAATGGGAGGGAAGTAGAGTAAGACTAGTAAGTAGTAAACAAATGTTTATTTTTCAAGCAAGTTTTTTTTTCTCTTGAATGCACCAAGACACTGAGTTGAGTCGGTAATAGTTAAGACATTCTGGACTAATAACAAACTGTAGATTTTGAAAGACAGACTGTAGCTGCTCATGCAGTCTGTTGGAAAGAACATGCATAGACCAAAGTTATTGTAGGCTAGATCAACAATGATCTAAAGCAATTATTTTTTTTTTTTGCATGAATGCTAGTTGAAGCTCTGTGGCTTTGCATGCACATACCACTGGTATTGGTCATTTCAAAATACAAGTATTTAGAAGTACAAAAAACAGGAAGTTGAATCTTTAACCAGCACTCATGTAATGCATATTTCCTGAGAACAGTGTGTGCTGTATATCTTTATAAGATAATATGCATTCAATGCAACATAGTAAACCAAACCTAGCAGAGCATTTCTCTCAGCTAAAGCCTATAACTCTCTATACATCAACAATCTTCTAGGACACAGTTGAGACCCAATTTATTTTAAAGAAAGGAACACAAACAGGTTTTTTTAAATTATTTCAGAAACTTTCCAATAACTGCAAAACAAAATTGATAGATTTGCAAAATCAAAGCCTTTATCCTTTCCAGCTGGGGAAGTAACTAGAATTTGTAATTTTCCACAATAAAAACTGGATTAAAACATTCATTATGTTTGTATTGGGGTTACAGGAGTGCAAACATAATGTTTTTTTTTGGCATTTTTGTTTAGTAATTAGGTAGATGTTTACTCAGAATGACATTTGTCTAGGAGAAGAATTTAGAATTTCAAATTTACACGTTAAATTAATGGCACTGGCAACTCCTTGAAACCACAGAACCTAGTTTTGAGAATGCAGCATAAGTTTGTCCTGTGATTAATTGGAATAAACAGTGATAAACAGAACACCAATTAACGGGAATACAAACTGACAAACAGAATCCATTCTAAAGCTTGGGTCCTGCCAAGGCAATCAGAATTGCAGTATGGCAAAACTTAAGTGTCAGATAAAGCTAACATAAACTATGCTTCGCAGCATGCAAAAAAGTGCACTTTGTACTGATTCTGACAGTTCTGGGAAAACTGATGCACCCATAAAGTTTGCAGGCTGGCAAGCTTTTCTATTCATGGGCGCACAGGGGTAGCATCAGTGTTGACATGTGCAACATTATCCTGGGATTAAAACATGGGAAATCAGTGATGGAAAGGCCTGGAATTAATATCTGTATAAGCAATTGCTGGATCAGAGAATCAATATCAATAGTAATATTATAAAGCTGATTGTTATAATGTAAGAAAATATTTTGAAGAAAGAGGAAGAAAAACTCCTTGAGAAGTAGAATAATGGTGTGGGAATGAAATCACTGATGGTTTCAAGTGAAAGAGAAGATGCATTTCATGCAAATAGTGTAATATCACATCTATAAACCATTTCTTTACATGAGATATATTTGCTGTGCTTTGTTATATAACAATACAAAACCTGGACAGCAGGACACCTTTAAAACTTGCTTTGGTTGATATAAATATGAAACTTTAGTATACCTGATCATTTTGTAAAAGGAAAATGCAAAAACTTTGGAGTGTTTCGCATATAAGTAAATCTCGCACACATATTTTAGTCTGGTGTTTCATACTCTTCCTCATTTAAAAAAACCTAGGAAAAGCAGTTAATAAACAATTGTTGTGACAATCACTTCTTTAACACCTTCTAAGTGTTATTGTTGCCTGGTTCTGGAAGTTGAGTATCACCATAGTCAATTCACTTGTTTGAAGGAGTTTTTAGATACATCTTGGCAAGACATTCCATTGGAGAATAATTTAATCCTATTTCTCTTCCTACTTCCATAATTTGTTTTTAAAGAAAAAAAAGTGTTACGTACGGTCCTATCTCTTTTCTTGGAAAAGCAGTTCAGTGCTGTTATGCCTCATTTGCTGCATAAGCAGGAAGCTTGCATACGGTAAATAATAACATTGGTTTTATATTTGCTACAGACTGAGACATTTCAGGTTGACATTTTTGTGAAATATAAAATATTCACAGAGTTATACTTCTGCATGCTGCTTCTGCATGCTGCGTTAGAGCATGGATAGGACAGTTCACTTAAGAGGTATGAGGAAACGGCCTTCAGTTGCACATTGAATATCAAGAGCAATGGAAAATGCCACATATTTTCCCCAAAGAGTTGATTCATCAAGGGCAGTGCAGTGGTGAGTCAGCATCCTAGGTTTTCTGAGCTGGGGAAAAGAAACACTCATGCAGCTTTATGCACATCAAAGTATGTGCAGAAGGAGCCAAGTAGGCTTGTAGGCTTCTCCATTCATCTGCAATTTCTCCAAGGCCAGGATCATTTTCTTTGTATAAGACATTTAGCTGAGATATACATTGCTCTGCACGAAGAATCAAGATACCTCATGCAGTAGTGGATCATTGAATCTTGGCTCGAAGTCTTGCTTTGTATGTGTGTCTGTGTATGTGTACACATACATAGGGAGACATACACATATGGGTATGCACACACATGCACATATACACATACGTATCTGCACACAGAGAGGCACACACAGTAGATGTGCGTGTCTGCATGTGCATGTCTATGCACACTCGAATGTACATTGAATTATGCATACAAACCAACAAAAAGTGATGTGCAAAACATCAAACTGCATAGTAAATATAGGACAGGCTGACCTCCCTTTTAACATCCACAATCTCAGCAAGAGACAAGGATAAACCTGACAAAACGGGAAGCCTCACGGACTGTTACAGCATCAACGGATGGCCACTAAGGCAGCAATTGTCTGAGTTCTTCTTTTATTTATGCAAACAGAAGGGGTAGAAGTAGTGAATAAGCACATCATTTTTTTAAAAAAAAAATAAAAATAAACCCCTTACTATGAAAGTTTAACAAATAAGTAAAGGACTCTACATTTTCTCAGATCTGTTGGGTTTATTATGTGCTTGCCCAGTAAATTCTCCTCTTCTAGAACTTCTGATCCTCTATGGTCTTTTTTTTTTTTTTGAGCACAGAGCATGGAAGAAGCAGAACGGTTGATTGTGTCTGCTGGTAACAGGATTTTTTTTTTCCAATTTTACAAGAAAGCTTGATAACATTACTTCCTTACATCAACACACATACACAGCTTGATTCTGTTGTCTTCTTTCCAAATCCCACCTTCATCTTGACTTCTGGAAATGTTCAGTCATGATGCTTCTGCTGATGGTTTTTGCCCCCTTGTTTATTTCATCCTTTCTTATTAGCTAAGGCCATTCGTGGTGATACTGCCTACCATTCTTTTTTCGCTCTCTTTGCAAATGCTCCAGCTCAGCCTCATACATCATTTCCTGAACTAAGTATTTCTCCCTTCGCATTCTGTCACATAAGTCTTTGGGCATATCTGGAATCAGGTAGGCAATGAAAGATTTTATTCCAAAAACTAGATGCTGAAAGAGAGAGAAAAAAGAATGGTA